TTCTGAAAGACTTACCCTACAGCAGAGCATGGGGCTGGGATTGGATTGACAGCAAAGCGTGATAGACTATCCTTTAAAGTCGTGACTTTGTTGGAAGGTAAACTATCAAGCACAAAGTTTAGTACTGTTACTGAATGTGGGAGGTAGTTACAGCGATAGGATGTGGTGTTAGAGTAAAAAGGGCAATATAATATCCTTTAGAGGGCATGTTTCATAGAGCGCTAGGAGTACATGGCTCTGTGTTTTTTATCCTCACAATTTCCCACACGCAGGCACTACTAAAAGAGTGAGTGCAACGCTTAATTCGGTAAGGTGTTTGCCCATCCTAAAATCTTTCAAGCCTGCTTTGATTTTATCTTTGTTCGCGCCATTGGTCTTCCTCGTTTCTGTCAGCCTCTAGAGTCTCGCTATATTTGTGTGCTTTATCTTTTCACATTCCTGCACTATCGTAGTCTCTCGTCCTGATTTCCTCAGCGATGAGAGCAATTATGATTCTAGCTCAAAGCTTCTCATTTCGCGCCTAATCTCCCATTGCGTATTTGAGATAAAACGGAGCTCTCTTCTCTCCACAATACGATTAACTTTCACAATCTCGCGTTTTGTTGAGTACAGTAAGATCATCTGAAAAATGACTTGCGCAATCATTTTAACACCGAATCCTGCAAACATTTCTACCATCCAGTGCATTTAAGACAATACCTCATCGTGAACTCTTCCTTCTGCAGAAATATTAGTTGCTGTCTTTCTGACTGACCTTTGTTTTTTCATTTCACCTATTTTCTCTTTCTAACGTATAAAAGACATGTAGTAACTGACGAGAATAAAAAATGCCTTAATTTCAGAGTATTTCTCGAAACAGATGAAAATCGTTGCATCTCACTTCTTCCGGATTATGCAAAGATACCATATTGTTCCTCTTACTGAGTTGTGAGATCCACTTAAAAAAGAAAACTATCACCCTTTCTTTTCTGGACTTCGTTACGTAAAATTGCGCTACATTTCTTCTTGTTTGTTTGAAGATATCTTAAAATCTCTTTGTGAAACACAACGAAGCTGAATGGAGTAGCTTTCGGAAAATTTTGCATTGGCAATGAGAGGATCTGCGTTGCTGTAAAAGGAGGAGTGTAGCGCTAATGAATGGTCCTTTTGCAGAGATTGAGATTTCTTCAAGATCCATGAGTTTTGCTTTTTCTTCATTGTAGTGAATTAACATTGAAGGTTTAATTTAGAAAGTATTTGTAAATACGCTTTCATGAGGGCAGCGATTAGGGCGTTCGAGGAACTTTTATGTCCCCTTTCCAGCTAAATGTGTACTAGAAAAACGGCTAGCATGTACACTGAAGAAGACTCCTTCGCTTTCTCTTCTACAGAGGAACGGCTAGGATGCGTCCTGGTAGAACGATCAGGATGACTTTGGGATAAAGTCTTGACACCCTACTGGAAAGGCTAGGATGTATTCTTCGAATAAGGCTAAGATGTATGCTACGGGAGAGGCTAAGATTTGGAGGGGACTTACACGCACACTTTAGTGCTCTGGTTATACAATGTAAATGATAGAGTCTAGAAAGATGAACAGTTCATGTAATGAAACTCTTCTTTTTTTCTCATTATCGCAATAAATAGTATTTTGGTCAAGACTTTTTGGCAAAAGAAGGACATCCTTGGAGACACTATCTTCTGCAGGTATGCAGGAAAACGAGCGGCGTGCTGCTTGGATTACTGTAGACGCACATATTTACTCTAATCTCGTAAATAAACAAACAACCTTAACCATAGTTGTTTTCTACTTACAGAAAGCTTGATATTTTTGTAAACTTCAATTTTTTGGAACAGTTGAACGAGTACTGTTCTCCATAACAATTGAATAAATATTAGTACGTGCTGTTTGTGCGCGTTGACTTCAATCTGATACTCATTTATGAGTACATCCTCAGTAATCTATGGATACAGATTGAATTACAAAATTATCACACTGCTTCACCGAAAATCCCGCTCTATTCCAATTTTGCGGTGTATTTCAAGTCCCTCGGCGTGTCCAATCATGGCTCCGAATTCTTTTCTATCACTGTCATCGGCCTCCGTTCCCATTTCACATCTACCCCTCCATGCTCTGCGGTGCACAATATTCACATTATTGAGAGGATGACCTTTGTACTCAATATGTCGCTTAAACACTTTTAGCAATACCATACACTCCATAGAATAAGCTCCCGCTCTTGCTTCAAACATTTTCCAATGTCTTGCCACCCCCCTACATAGGAAAATGTATCGGCTCCAATTCCTACTTTTCCTAACGACAATCCCCCGACCTTGTCGAGCGCTGTACACTAGAAGTTTTGCCAACCCTCGCCCCCTTCTCACCCATGCATTTAAACCTTGCTGACTAAGTCAGCCGTATGATTAGGGCAATATTTTTCCGGCTAAGATGGAGGTTTAAATTAATGATCAGTCTTTTGTTGGAATATTGCTAGCCCATAAGAGCTGGCACGAGCTTGACAACATTTATGGGTCAGCTCTCCGAATTATCAATGGTCTATCGGGTCATGTACTCAATCTTATTCGGATGAAGTTATGAATTTAAACACTTTGCTCGCTGGGATTTTCTTGCCGTTCCACAATAAATAATTTCAAATAATTTATCAGTAACTTTCGGTTACGACCTTGGACTTCAATATAGAAGTCGTTGTGTCAAATTATCTTAACTAGCTCTGTTGCCTATATGACCTGATTTGGTGTATTAGTACCCAAAAGTGCCCAGGTTTTACAGTTCATGCTCAATATAACTCAATTCCTAAAAGTGAGCTCAGCTTTTAAGCATTCAAAGGGAATCCTT